CAGTCCATCAGTTAACATCTGGAGAAGACAAAAGCTGAAACAATCTGATGACGAAACAAACTCATCTGCATCTCGGATGGCGTGACGGTGAGCAAATTTCAGCACATTCTCATTTTTGGGTGAACTATTCCTTCAGTAATGTAAAGAACCTGTATTCTTAAGAGTAGTGTAATGCCTCTGGTTTGGTGTCTACTTTAATTGAAGCGCAGTGGTGTGTGTGTGTGTGTGTTTAGTGAGTGGTTTGTGGGAGGATTCATTGGTCTAAATGGATTTTTAAACACAGATGAGTTTCCTTTCGTCTGCCCTCAGGCGTCCACAGATAAAACACTTAACTGCAAGGAGTGGCAGCTGTGTGTGTGTGAGAGAGAGAGAGCGTTTGTGTGTGTGTGTGTGTGTGTGTGTGTGAGAGAGAGAGAGTGTGTGTGTGAGAGAGAGAGAGAGTTTCTGTGTGTGAGTGAGTGAGAGAGTGTGTGGTTTGTCTCCATTGTGTTGCATGTTTGTTTTGTCAGTGAATTTCCTCTGTGGCTGTTAGTGGTGCATGTAATTGTAATTAGGTGGTAATAATGTGTCTGATAACTAAACATGTTTCAATTTATGAAAAGTAATAGTTTACAAATCTGGGAGGATGAATGTGATTTAAGACTGATTTTACCTGCTGATGGTGGAATATTTTTATTGCAAAGACGATCAGATTCAGGAGCCTGTGAGCAATACCAGTTGATTTATTCAGGGATTTTATTAAATATTTGAGTTTCACATTTGTTTGTGACACTTTATACACACTTATGTGATTCTTATTAGATCTTTAGTTTATTTAAATAGATTAAAATGGCATGAATGTACATTCATATCTGAGTTATGTTTCCTAATGGCTTGTTACTCTTCTGTTGAGTGTTTTCTCACTGCTGCTCAAACCCTGATGAATGTTGCATGAATGATCTCTGTTCCTCTGATGATCTCCAGTGTACGTCAAATCCTCCTCCGAGCAGCATGACAGATTGATTTGCATCGAATGAAAGGGAACCTGCAGGATGAGAATGGAATAAAGATGTTCTCCCGCTGGAGGAAAGTGAGAAAACGCTCGTTTCAAACACTCCACCAATCCAGAGAAGAAAAAGCTCACAAAGCCGGAGTGCAACTGAATGCAGGGCTTCATATGAGCACCAATAATTGTTAATCTGCTACCACTCAAAAGAATAATGTGCAAAATGAGCTCAAGAGAAAAATACTCCCTGCATAATAACCTGTATGTCACAAATTTACAATGTGAGGCAATAATACCAGTTTCTGTAGAGAAACAAACCTAAAGGCTATTGAACACAAATTATTACCTACTTATAGAAATATTTATGTATTGTATGTTATGCATAAAATAATTATATATTAGATTGTTATTTGATAAATATATACAATAAATATAAACGTTGCATATGCATTAAAATCTAAAAAAACATAGAACATAAAGCCTATATATATATGTCACAAATGTATAAATAATGCATATGCATATGACAATGTATAGCCTACATACATTTCATATATTAATTTCATATATATAGGCTATATATATTTCTTATCTAATATAGTAATTTTATATTTTGTATAGTGTGTAACTAGACACTGCATATAAAATTATATTATAAATTGTATTATATAATATAAATTTCATATTCTATATACTCTATAATCAATGCATATGCATCACAATATGAAGAATATAAAAATATAGTATAAATAATGCTTATAAATGCTGAAACTATGTGTAAATGTCATACTCTGTATACTGTATAAATAATGCACATGCATAAAATTGTATTACACTTATTCTTAAATATTCTTAGATTATTTCTTTAAATGCATTGGCTATGACATAATGACACACATAATTTGTTAAGCACGTTTAACTCATTGCCCACTGTAAACTTAAACGACTTTCGTCGTAAATAATTATATATTGAGACAAAAAAAAACTGCAGCAAGAGAAAGTGAGTGAAATGCAGAATAATTGTATGTCATGAGAGACTGTGTGTGTGTTGAGGTTAATAACAGCTGGTTAAATGTGTGAGAATAATTGCAGGCTGTGATGTGTTAATAGCCTCTGTACAGGTGTTGAGCCACTTATGCGAGATTATATCTCAGTATGTGTCTCTCTCTCATATCTGTCTCTCTCTCTCCTCACAAAGACAGAGTTTCTCATTGGGTGTGTGTCTTGAAGGGGTGGCAGGGCTCCTGCATAAAGAG